CCCCCCCATCTCCTTACTGCTACCCTCCATGCAAAAACCTGATTTTTTTTTGTTTCTGCTAGCCCTGGACTGACATCATTCCATAATTGTACCACACATAAACAACATTTGCCATTAAAGAATATATTTAATGAAAAACAGGAATATGCATGAAGAGCATCCAAATGCCTTATGGGAGGAAACGGCTTGGAACCAAATCCTATTTGATTCTCCAATTAATATGTCCCCTAATTCTATTTCCTGCAGTCATTGTCTTACAATGGCTTCCCTCTAATGTCTGGAACAGGAAGAAATGTGGAAATAGAATTGTCTTCATAGCCAGCTTGATGGGCTGGCGGTGAGCAGATGAGGACAAATTGCAGAATTAGAAACAAGGCCACTGATGACAAGCAAAGGAAATACCCTCCCACGATTATAAAATTAAAGCTGACCTGGGTTTACGATGCAGCCTGGATAGTCTTCTTTTTAAAAAAGAAATAAATACCCAAAGGAAAAAAAAAACAAGAGCGACAATAAACCCAACCCAAAAAGGAACGGTTTCTTTCTTGCCAGGATATTTCACTTCCCTGGGAAATAAATTCAAATAGGAGAGCAAACAAGAAAGACGTTGAGAGGGGGGGGTGTTGTGATTTTAATTGGAGGACTGTGTATGTTTCCCTTGGTTTATCAGAAAATAAAATCCCTGCCTCATTGAGTATCATTTAGGCTTCATACCCCATTTAAACTGGATATGATGCTGGAAATAACCTTAAAGATTATTTATTTTGGGTTCTATCTAATTTAATATTGGAAGCATCTGGGCAGACTTTGATCCAAGTATTGCATCAATGTCTCTGAACTGATAACAGAACTGAGAAGACAATCCAACAGGTCTTGGGAGGCCTAGTAAATTAGTAGATTGATAGACCGATAGACTGATGGGTTGATAGGGTGATTGATTGATTGATCGATAGATATGTAGAGATAGAAAGAAATATAGATAGATGATAGACAGACATACAAACAGACAGATGATAGATAGCTATAGATGGATAGTTCTGTAGATAGATGGGTAGATAGAAATGGATGGATGGATGGATGGTTAGATAGATGTGGATAATTAGGTAGACAGATGGGTAGATAGATATAAACACATAGATGATACTGTATGATCTGTAGATGATACTGTATAGATGTACTGATGATAGATAGATAGACATAAATAGATCATAAATAGAAAAAATGAGAATATATACAATGTAATTGTAATTGAAGACTACGAAATGGAAGCACAAAACAATTTGTAAACCAACCGGCACTCTGTATGTATATATATGGAAGATGGCTTGATGTTTTTATGTTTTGTTTGTCTATGTTTGTCTTAAAAACCAATAAAAAAAAAGAACTACGTGGTGAGAAGACCAAAATGTCCTGGACGTACTTTAAGAATTGCTGACCAGGCACCATTTGATGGATGGGTCTGGTTAAAGGGGCAATCTTCTGACTTGAGATCTGGGCTAACACGTGGGCCGTTCTGCTTACAAGTGTCCCTTGGTGGCACTTTTGTCCAATGGGACATTATGCTAAAGAGGGTGAGTCAGTCAATGAAAGTGCCTGCTTGATTTCTCTTATCTCTCTGGGTGGTTTTTCCACCCCCGGCATTTTAACTATCTTACATCTGTAATATAGGCTAAATGACACCCGTGTAGTTGCCAGAACTGTGGGAAGAATTGCAAAGCTCCAGTAATCCTGTACACACAAAACAATTAGTGCGCACACAAGCCAGAATGAAGAAAGGGTTGAGCAAGAAGGATCACAGCTTCAGTTGATTTCACCTTTCCAGCTGAGCCTATCCTTGGGGTCATGGTTTATGCAATGTATGCAATGAAGCAATCATGTGCTACATATAGCTGCTTAAAAATCAGCTGTAGACAGCTAATGGAACAGACTTTCAAGTAGCAATAGCAATTAGACTTATATACTGCTTCACAGGGCTTTACAGCCCTCTCTAAGCAGTTTACAGAGTCAGCCTATTGCCCCCCTCAAGAGTCAAAAACAGAGGTGGTATTCAGCAGGTTCTGACCTGTTCTGGAGAACCGGTAGCGAAAATTTTAAATAGGTCAGAGAACTGGCAAATACTGCCTCTGACTGGCGATTTTACAATATCCTTCCCCTGCCACGCCCATCAAGCCACACCCACAGAACCAGTAGTACAAAAATTGGAATCCCACCACTGGTCAAGGTGCAACACTTAGTAATAGTTATATAGTTGTAGGGTATAGAGTAAATAGCATGTAGTCATAGGGTACAATAAGCAATCAAATCATACTAGGAAACGGTCAATAAAAATCATTAGGATACGAGCAACAAGGTTACAGTCATACAGTCATAAGTGGGAGGAGATGGATGAAAGGAAGGATGGGAGGATTAATAGTAATAGTAATACAGACTTAGTAAATAGTTGGACAGCGTTAAGGGAATTAATTGTTTAGCAGATCTGCTCTCTCTCTCTCATTCTCTTCACCAACGTGACAAGGGCAGTGCCTCAGATCTGAAGATCCAGAAGTTAGAGATTCAATCTCTATTAAAGAGAAAAACCCAGGCTGGCCTCTACCCAGCCTTCCTTTTGTGGGAAGGGAGGAGGGTAGGTTTTCTACCAACGTGCCCTGAAGTGTAAGGCTAAATTATGGAAAATTGAAATCAAAGCTTCACCGTTGTGTTTGGTTCGATGTGGAAACAATTCTGCACTCTCACTGCCCTCTCCGTTTTCTTGCGGTCCCGTGGACTTTGGGGGGGTGGGGGGCTTGGCTTGTTCTGATTTCCTTACAAACTGAAGCCAGCTTCTGCTGCTTGTGTTGACCTGGAAACCTGAGTGAATGTCTCCCCTTCAGGCTGGGTTTTTTTTCTCTCTCTCTCTCCAAAGAACGTAATGTTAGCCCCATTTCATTGCTCGCCCTCTCAGCTCCTTCCCGGGGCACCTGGAACCTAAATGGCATCCAATTTGTTTACAACAGAAAGGGTCAGAGTCCCTCACCAGGCACTGAGCTCAAAACATTTGGCTTAGATTGGTTATTAAAACTGCCTTTGGCCAAACAGGACATCTCAAATTTGGGCAGGATATCTGACACAGGCATTCCCCACCCAGAGAGAAAGAGATCTATACA